AAAAAAAAGAGGGTAATGGAAATTTCCACTAAATTAAAAATAGATACTTTCAGTCATTGTGAGGCATTTTTTGCATGGAATCATAGTGATATTTGGCATTATGGCTTTTGATAAGCACTTACTAGTCACAGAAAAAAGGATTTTTTAAAAAATGGCATCAGTGAGGTAGCTTAGGAAAAAATAATCAACTTTAAAATGTTAATTTTTTTTTTTTTTAAAGAGACTTTTGCTATAGGGTGTGTGTGTGAGATGGAATTTGCTTAAACAATTATACGTTCAGATCATCTAAAACTCTTATTTTGTAGGAATTATCCAACTAAATTTTTAACTCACTATCTTAATTTTCTTGGAGGCATTTGAGTGCTCAGGCAATCCTTGGTTTAGTTGCTACTGCTTTCAGGTTTTGTGACCTTTAGAAAAATCTAAGGTATGTGACCTATGGTAGTTTCTCTCACTTTGAAATTAGGAGTATTAATATTAGTTAAGTCATAGACTACAGAGCACTAAAAAGGTGATAATCTGGACGAGCTCCATGGTCTGATAGCAGGATGCCACATGGCCAGCCATGCATTGTGTGTATGAGCACCAAATCCTGAAACAAGGGAGTCATGGAAGAGAAGAGACTGAGATGTTGCCATTCCTCTTGGAGGGTGCTGTCTCCCCTCTCTCTCTCTCTGTCTCTCTGGAGAGCCCATGTACCCTCTAGCAAAATAAAGGGGGAGAAGAGGGAGGGGTATACTGTACTTGACCCAGCAGACTTCCAAACGATTTTGAAAAATGGAATTAAACTATGTTTATTTTGGAGTTGAAAAATTTGAAATCCATGTATAGTTTTCTTTTTTCATAACATGCATTTTTCATGAACTTTTGAAGACTCCTCATATACCCAGGAATTTCTAGCTGCTATTATTACTACTATGTTTTTTATGAATTTTAGTATTTTTCTTTTTCTGTTTTTTTTTTGGAGAGGTTTGTGCTATAGGGCATGTGCGCTTGCCAGAAAGATAGAGAGAGACAGAGAGACAGAAAGTGAGAAATCACCCCCCAGGGGATTGGACATGCTGCAATCCCTTCTCCATTCTCCTCTCGGGATCTTGAGCATGCACGCACATGCGCCAGGCGTGAGTTTAAGTCACCGGGTCTGGGACTCGAACCGTAGTCGACTACATGAGAGTTCAGCGACATAGCCATTATGCTAACTGCTGGTCCCAAATTTTAGTATTTTTCTATGGAAGAAATATACTGCACTCAGTCTCCTGTGCGTTCTTTTATTTTTTAAATAATCTGTTGAAATCAAACAATAACCTAAAGAGAGTAGCAATAAACTCTAGTCTAATGGGCAGAACAGTGCAGTCAAATTCACAAGTTTTCAGCTGATTGTTTATTTTTTTTTTTTTTTTTTTAAGATTTTTGCTATAGGACACATGCACTCGCTGTAGAGACAGAGAGAGACTGAGAAACACAAAGTGAGAAATCACCTTCCAGATGGGATGGTCACATCACAATCCCTTCTCCTCCATTTTCATCTTGGAATCTGGGGCATGCATGCACATGGGCCCGGCATGAGCTTTAAGCTGCTGGGTACTGTGGTCAATCATGTGAGAGTCCATTGATGTAACCAATACGTCATCTGCTGGTCCCTGTAGTGGTTTTTAATGGTTCAACACTCACTTTTCTTAGGAGTATCAATTCTGAAAAACAAGAAATGTGATAGCAGCCAGATCTTCTATATCTATAATGTGTAACTAATACTTAAATTATAAAATGTTGTATAAATGCCAGGATATACTAGCACTATAAGATCACATTTTAATGTGATTTTATATAAACTTTTGTATTTCTCCTAAATAAGATTGCTATTCGTCGTGCAAATGCCATAGACCTTAGAATTGGTGGATGTGTTGAGATTGCTGATGTTGAAATCCATCCAGTGAGTATTTTACCTATTCTTGTGATCAATTTATGGGCGTGATAATTTTTCTTATGTCTCTAGTCATCCCACTTATATATTAAGATATTTTACGATATATTAATGCCTTATAAATAACTATATGAAAAGTTAAAATTAATATGTATGCAATACAAGTATTAAATGATGAAACAGAATACTGAATGCATGTTTAACAGTTTACACTGAACTTACGTGGTGAAATAGTAGCAAAACCATTAAAATCAGCTGTAGACTTCATCAGGATCCTATCCCTTGTAAGAGATAATCACTCGCATATAAATAATGACACTGCATATGCATGAATGCCCTAACTATTCATTATCTAATTTAATTTGTTTTCTGAGACAGAGATAAACTATTTCTACTCTCTGTCGAGTTACTTTAAATGGAATACTTTGTTTTCAATATTGATCTAAATGGTGTGTGATTATGTTATTTATCATCACTATGGCATCACAATTCTTTGGACAGACATACTACAGTTTACTCACTTATTGTTCACCTAATTACGTGTTTCTCTTTCTGTTGATATAAATACTGTAACTGTGAATGTTCACATGCATATTTTCTAAGATACATCCATGAGGAACCAGCAGTTAGCGTAATGGCTATGTCACTGGACTCCCACGTAGTCGACCGCGGTTCGTGTCCCGGACCCGGTGGCTTAAAACTCACGCCGGGCGCGTGTGCGTGCGTGCCCAAGATCCCGAGAGGAGAATAGAGGAGAAGGGATTGCGGCGTGACCATCCCCCCTGGGGGGTGATTTCTCGCTTTCTGTCTCTCTGTCTCTCTCTGTCTGTCTGGCGAGCTCACGCACCCTATAGCAAAAAAAAAAAAAAAAAGATACATACATGAAAGTTTCTTTAGAAGTGTAGCTTCTGAGACATAAACAATATGTGTGTTTGACTTCACAAGATAATTTCGAAAATTTCTTCTTGAGTTTCCATCGTGCCACAAATTTTATTGTTAAAGTAAGTTTTTGCCAGTCTATTGAGTATAAAATTATACTTCACTGCAGTCTTTATTTGCATTTTCTGAACTATAGTCACATTCATTTTTTGGAAAATTATTATTTGTGTCCCAGTAAAATTTTGTTCTGCAATTGATATAGTGTGTACACCTGTAGGTGCACACACACATGCACATCCCCACCCTACCCCCCAAAAGTCCTTTAAGAATGAAAGCTAATCTCATCTATCTAAAGAAATTTTCCCTGATTTTTTTCAGAGCAGACCTACACTCCCCTCCATTGTGACATTGATAAATTTTCACAAACACCTTCTGCTCTGGGAAGCATCATCATTATGGTAGTTGCCATATTATTTTTTTAGTTATCTGCACTTTTGTTTTTCTCTCTTGGCTAGTACTGCAACATAGAGCATTATTTTAGTGTTGAACTATAATAAATTGAGCAGAAATTGATGTTAAAAAGGTCATTGTAGGCTCTAGCTTTAAGTTAGGATTTTTCTAATCTCTCTTTTATTGTGTAGTGAAGGCTAACTTCAGATAGACTGACAGATATTAAGCTATTATACATTGTCCAAGGCTGTGGTGATTACTGGAGATTAAACCCTGTCATATCCAGAGTGTATTTTTTTTCCATTGTTATGGTGACCCTCCTTGAAAAATATTAGACAGTACTGAGACTTTTGTTACTCTGTTTTCTAATTCTGAAGTCATTTTGGGCATGTTTTGCATGTTATAGTACAATAGAATAATTAATAGGACCTTACACTGAGATATTTTTATCAATATCCCCTTATTATATCAGATTTTATATGAATCTGCTTTTAAAAAATAATATTCTAGCATCACTATATATTCAGCAATATATTCATTAACTGTATACTTGGGCATTTACTATGTGTCTGAATAATATTTGGAAAATTTTATCCAGATGAAATACAAACAAGTCCAAAATAGTATAAGAGGAGCAATTTTTTTTACATATACAAAGTGTTGAATTTTCATTACCCATTTTGGACTTAACAAAGTTCACATATAGAAATGCGTTGACATTTTAAATGAAACAACCAGAGCCAGTTGACCTGAATACAGTATTTTTTCAATATTAGGATACTGTTTGCTCAACCTCCTTTTAATGTTATATGTGACTCTTTTGTTAAGGAACTGTAGGGTATCTATAATATAATAACTCTACCACAAAGAGGAATTCCACAGAATTTTGTGGTATAGGCACATACCTGCATATGGCCTAGAATTTAGGTACATTCAATAAACATTCCATATCGGGCCAGCAAATGGCACTGTGGTTAAGGTGCTGGACTCCCACATGGCCTGCTGTAGTTAGAGTCCTGGACCTGGCTTCTTGAAACTCATACCATGCATGTGGGCATGCATGCCCAAAATCCTGAGAGGAGCATGAAGGAGAGGGAATTGTGGCTTGATCATTCCCCTGGGGGAGGGGGTGATTTCTCATTTTTTTTGTCCCTCTGGCAAGCTCATGTGCCTTATACCAAAAAATCTCTGAAAAAGAAAAAATCCTTGTATATTTAAGGTGAGCAGCAGGTAGATGCTAGGGATACAAATACAAATTAGACTTAAGGTGCTGTAGGAGAGAGAGATATATAAACAAATAAATGGACTATGTGATATCACAATATAAATAAACATAAGGAAAAGAAGTACTCTTAAGCACAGTGATTAATTGTGCCTTATCTAAGTGAGACTTGAATGACATTATATCAGGCAATTATACTTTCTAATTATTCTTTCTTTTTAAATTTTAGAATGTATTTAATTTCAGTGGCACCTATGTGGGCGCTACTGAAATTATTCCATTTGTCATCAAGAACAAAGGTTTAACACGTGCCAGAGTGGCATTTAATCTAGAAAAGTTTCCGAATTTTTCAATGGATCTTAAAAACAAGTCAGGTATGTATCTTATATTGTAATGGTATTAATGTAAATGCAAAATGGTTTTAAATTGCACTAAAGTATAATTGTTAAAAATCATTTGTAACACGTGCCAGAGTGGCATTTAATCTAGAAAAGTTTCCGAATTTTTCAATGGATCTTAAAAACAAGTCAGGTATGTATCTTATATTGTAATGGTATTAATGTAAATGCAAAATGGTTTTAAATTGCACTAAAGTATAATTGTTAAAAATCATTTGTACAGGGACCAGCAGTTGATGTAATGGCTATGTTGCTGGACTCCCATGTAGTTGACCGTGGTTCGAGTCCTAGACCCGGTGGCTTAAACTCATGCCGGGAATGTGTGCGTGCGCGCCCACGCTCCTGAGAGGAGGATGGAGGAGAAAGGATGTCAGCATGGCCACTCCCCTGGGAGGTGATTTCTTGCTTTCTGTCTCTATCTCTCTCTCTGGCAAGCACATGCACCCTATAGCAAAAACCTCTAAAAAAAAAAAGGTAAAAAAATAATTTGTACAAAGCACTTATGCTGAAATATATTAGTCACTCAATGTATTCTTTTTGTAGAGGTTTTTGGCTTAGGGCACATGTGCACACCAGAAAAGGAGACAGAGACAATGAGAGGAAAAGTGAGAAGGGGATATGATCACGCTGTAGTCCCTTCTCCCCCTTTCTCCTCCTGGGATCTTGGGCATGCACACACACGTGGCTGGCATGAGTTTCAACCAATCAGATCTGGGACTCAAACTGCATTCGGCCATGTGGGAGTCTACCGACAAAACTACACCATCTGCTGACCCCCACAGTGTGTATTTTTATGCTCTATAATTCATCATTGCTTTGTTTCTATTATAGTAATATAAGAACACTTCAGTAATACATGACATATATCTGTGCTTACTAGCTGGTAATACTAGTATAATAAATCAAGGATGTTATGTATGAGTATATATTATTAATGACAATAAAATTATTAATTGCTAGTTTTAATTGCTCAAGAATTTTATATATTTGGAAAGTTCTTTCTATGTTTAGTCACATATGAGGTATCTTTATGTTAAATTAGGTTTAAATAAAATAAGCATTTAAAAATTTTTTTTTTTTGTCATAGAGTGAGTGACCTCACTGGAGGGAGACAGAGATATAGTGAGAGGAGAAAGGAGAAATCACTCCCCAGGGAAGATGACCATGCCACAATCCCTTCTCCTCTAATCTCCTTTTGGGATTTTGGGCATGCATGCCCAGCGTAATCTTTAAGCTCCTAGGTCTGGGACTTTAACCTTGGTCTGCCATGTGAGAGTCCAACACCTTAACCACGATGCCACCTGCTGGCCCCCAAAATAAGCATTTTCATAAGTATATTTCATCTGTGTTCTTCAGGTGGTGGAAAACTAAGGCCCATAGACCAAATCAGGCCTGGTACTGCTTTTTTTTTTTTAATAAAGTTTTATTAGAACACAGACACATTCATTTACATATTGTTTATGGCTGCTTCCATGCAATTTGGTTGTTGGAAAAGTCATGACTTATCTTTCTATGCAAAAAATGCATCAGAACTTTTCCAAGAATCTGCAGAGGTGAATAGTTGCAAGATAAAGCATATAACTCATGAAGCCTAAAATGTTTACTATCTGGACCCTTACAGAAAAAGTTTCTTGACCATTGGCTTAGTCATTTCTTCAGTAAATACTTATTTAATTCCAATGATAGGCTTTGAGTCTATGAAGACAAATAAGACATACATGTCCTCAAAAATGCATAGTAAGTTTATAAGTCATGATCTCAGTAGTAAACAACTCAGAGGGTGTAACTAACTAAAGATAATTTAATGAAGGAATTGTCTATGGAGGTTGGGGCAGGGCTAAAGGAAATCAAGAAGGGATGGAAGCTGCTCCCACCTCTAGACCTGAAGTCCAACACCTTAACCACGATGCCACCTGCTGGCCCCCAAAATAAGCATTTTCATAAGTATATTTCATCTGTGTTCTTCAGGTGGTGGAAAACTAAGGCCCATAGACCAAATCAGGCCTGGTACTGCTTTTTTTTTTTTAATAAAGTTTTATTAGAACACAGACACATTCATTTACATATTGTTTATGGCTGCTTCCATGCAATTTGGTTGTTGGAAAAGTCATGACTTATCTTTCTATGCAAAAAATGCATCAGAACTTTTCCAACAACCTGCAGAGGTGAATAGTTGCAAGATAAAGCATATAACTCATGAAGCCTAAAATGTTTACTATCTGGACCCTTACAGAAAAAGTTTCTTGACCATTGGCTTAGTCATTTCTTCAGTAAATACTTATTTAATTCCAATGATAGGCTTTGAGTCTATGAAGACAAATAAGACATACATGTCCTCAAAAATGCATAGTAAGTTTATAAGTCATGATCTCAGTAGTAAACAACTCAGAGGGTGTAACTAACTAAAGATAATTTAATGAAGGAATTGTCTATGGAGGTTGGGGCAGGGCTAAAGGAAATCAAGAAGGGATGGAAGCTGCTCCCACCCCTAGACCTGAAGGAGTAAGAGAAGGGAAGATATTATTGGAGTCTAGTACAGGGTGAAACTATGGAAGAGGGGCCAGTGGTTAAGAACTATAGCTATGAAGCAATGCAGCCATTGCCAGAACTGCAACCAAAGCAGCAAGGAAATGGGATCATGAATATGGTGACCTTTCTCTCACCTTCTTTCCCCTGATATCTCATTGGTGCTTCTCCATGCTGGAACCCAACCAGAGGCAGAAAGAGCAAGAGAGCTTGGTTGATTTGATCTGCAAAAGTCAGGACAGAGCAGAACATAAAAAATGATTATTAGATCTAGGTGTAAAATAGAGGGACCACCTGTAACAGATGGGTAAAGAATCAGATTATTGCCATATAGCATTACAGATGCTATCAGATGAGGCATGTTGCTAAGAGAATATAGATTAGGGAAAAGCTATCCTAGAATCAGCAGGGAGCAAAGATTTCTTGTAGAAGTTGATGCTCTTTAAAGTCTGGAAAAATGAAAAAACAGATACATAAGCAAAAGGAATATGTGAAAGAATGCAAATAAAAGCCTAGAAATGAGTTAGTATAATAAGTAGTTTAGGATATCCAGAGTATAGAGGTACAGGAATGAAGAAGCAAGTGGGATCCTGGTACCAAGGGCTTTTTGTGGACATCTATCCTAGCTAGAGGTTAGGCAGTATCACTAAAGGATTTATATCTAGGCAGCAGCATGATTATTAATTGTCCTTTAGGAGCACAGTTGAAAATATGCAAAGAGAAAAGTGGATGTAGAGACAGCAAGACCAGAGATAGACCAGTTAGATGTAACCATACAGGTAAGAAATGATTAGAGCCTAGACTCAAGGCAGTGATGCTGGGGATGGGAAGGAAGAGAATGCAAAGATACCGATAAATTAAAAATGCTCAGACTAGATGAACAACTAGAAAAATATATTAGGGAAGTGGAGAAAATATCTAGTCACTTCCAGTTTTTGACTAAGAGATAGGTGGCTGGAAGTACAATTCATAGTTGATGGAATTGCAGGAGGAGGACCAGGTTTGGGTGAGCAAGTTGTCTTTGAGGACCTTGTAAAATTGCCCAGGAAATATAATATAGGCAATTGGTAATACATGTGGAATCTATATTAATTTTTCAAATAATCTGGAGGTTAACACTTTGCATTCTTTGTAGATTCTAAGGCACTGAGTCTTCCTGGAAAGGATTCTCCCAGCTATTCTGAGACCAAAGTTTCAGTCCATTTCTTTTCTTTTCTTTTTTTTTTTTTAAGAATTATTTTATTCTTTCTTTCTTCCTTCCTTCCTTCCTTCCTTCCTTCCTTCCTTCCTTCCTTCCTTCCTTTCTTTCTTTCTATCTTTCTTTCTTTCTTTCTTTCTTTCTTTCTTTCTTTCTTTCTTTCTTCTTCTTTCTTTCTTTCTTTCTTTCTTTCTTTCTTTCTTTCTTTCTTTCTTTCTTTCTTTCTTTTCCTTCCTTCCTTCCTTTCTTCCTCCCTCCCTTCCTCCCTCCCTCCCTTGCTCCTTCTTTCTTTCTTTCTTTCTTTCTTTCTTTCTTTCTTTCTTTCTTTCTTTCTTTCTTCTTTCTTTTCTTTCTCTTCCTTCCTCCCTTCCTCCCTCACTCCCTCCCTCCCTCCATCTCTCTCTTTCTTTCTTTCCTTTTGTTTTTTCTTTCTTTCTTTCTTTCTTTCTTTCTTTCTTTCTTTCTTTCTTTCTTTCTTTCTTTCCTTTTCTTTCTTTCTTTTCTTTCTTTCTTTTCTTTCTTTCTTTTCTTTCTTTCTTTTCTTTCTTTCTTTCTTTCAAAATTAGACCAGAGAGGGACAGAGTGAGAAAGAAAGGGAAAGTGAGAAAGCCAGGTACGGACCTCAAACTGTGGTCAGCCATGTGGGAGTCTAGTGCCCTTAACCACCATGCCACCTGCCGGCTCCTCAGACCATTTCTTGTTCTTAACTCTTTATTCCTTTCCAAATTCATTCCAATATGACTATGATAACCTTCTTGAATTTTGAAGTTTGTTCATTTGTTTTTGTAGTGAGTTTATTATCTCTGTTTTGCTGATTAAATGTATATTTGTTCCATATTTGGGTATGTTTTATTGATTAGAATCTTGGTATTCCCCAGCATCCTTAGACAGCCCTGCACAGATATTTCAGTAATTGCTTTGTGATTGTTATGAATATATCGATGAAGTTTTTCAAAGTTCACATTTCCACATTAAATTATGGTGTATCTGGCTCTATTCAATATGTACTTTTTCCTGTCTTACAGGTGAATTAGCAGACCCTGCAATTCCTTACATATATTCTGTGGAGTTAGAGGAAAATACATCTGTGGAATGTGGCATAGCATTTTCTCCCAATGAAGTAAGTTCAGTTTTCTATTCCTCATATTACTGAAAAGTAGTAGAATTTTGCATAGTCCTAATCAAGAACCTATCAAAGATAAGTTCTATTTGTAGTGCTTTTCTCAGACATGTAGATATGCTTAGGTATACCCTATAATTCAGTAAAATGGTTGCTGGAGATGTCTCGCTCGTGCCTGCATAGTGCCTCAAGAGGTGCAGAAGACACATATGGGGAATCTATGTTCGTGTGGTATTTCTTAAGCATTTTAGAAAATTCAATAGAAGACATATTGTGAAGGAGAGGAAAGTTTAGGCTAATTAAATAATTATTTTCCAGTTGGCTTGTGCTTTCTACTTATATTGGAGTGGTGTATGCTTCATGCTCTTGGAATTGCTACCTGAAATTACCAGAGATATGCTGTGAAGACTTAAAAGAGTTGCTATGATACTGGTTCTTTTTATAGTGTCTCCTTGGTTCAGTGATTTAAAAACAACAAAGAGTTACATTTTAGCACAGCATTTAAGCTCTGTATATGAGAACCAGATCCCACATGGCCAACCCAGGTTTGAATCTCAGTCTGGTGGCTTGAAGAACATGCCAGGCACACGTGTGTGCTTCTGCAGAATCCTGATGGGATGGAGAAATGGCAGAAAAGGGATTTGGCATGACCACAACACACTAGAAGATGCTTTCTCTTTCTCTGTCTCTCTTTCTCTTTTTCTCTCTGGTGTGCACACCCCCTCTCCCCTGGCAATAAACAAACAAAAGCAAAGATGAAACATTTCCCAGAATGTCCCCCAAAGGAATGGGTACTACAGGTCAAGTTTCAGGGTCAGCTCTTGAGTCTTTTTTTTTGGAGAGGTTTTTTAGCTATAGGGTACATGCGTTCGCCAGAGAGACAGAAAGCGAGAAATAACCCCTCACAAGGGATGGCCACACCGCAATCCCTTCTCCTCTATTCTCCTCTCGGGGTCTTGGGCATGCACACACATGCGTCTGGCGTGAATTTAAGCCACTGGGTCTAAGACTCGAACCAGGGTCTACTACATGGGAGTTCAGTGACATAGCCATTACGCTAACTGCTGGTCCCAGCTCTTGTGCGCTCTTGATTCAGAGGTTCTGTAACAGAGGTACCAAGGAGAGAGCTTCAGTTTACCCATGATACAGTGGGACATGATTCTACTTCCTTTCAAATAAGAATAAAATTTCCATACGGCAATTAAAGTATAAGATTAGTATGTAAAAACTTTTTTAATATTCTAACATAACTAAACAGATGCTTTATGTTGAATAATGTTGAATAGTTGAGTGAAAACAACAACTACTAAATCCTCCTAAGTACTATTGTTAATAATCTATTTTTTGGGTAATGTTACTTTTGTTTTAGAGAGAGATTTTTTTTTTTAAATTTATTTATTCATTCATTTATTT